AACAGTCACCTCTTGGTTGCATGCAAGTTGGAGGCGCGCAACGCTACAAAGTTCTACAGTGACATCTAGGCTGCTTAAAGTTTCTATGTGGTAAATCCGCTTTTCTTCTGCGTTTCCCTTAACCTCTGCCAAAAAAGAGAGGCAAGGGGGATAACTTGTCCGTCTTTGTAGCTTGTAATTTGACGCATTATTAAGACAGGAATTTCTTGTTCCTCGATTTCTTTTAAAATTACTTCTATTTTAGGAGTTTTGTAACCGCTTTTATCGGTTTTTCAGAATTAACTAAATAAGTGTGAGAAGGCAGACATTTTTGTAAATTTTCAATAGTGTAAACACGCTTATTTAAAGTATCAACCCTTTCAGGTTTCCTTTGATCTTTTTTTTACACCGAATTTCTCAGTTCTCTCCTTTAAGGTTTCCGAATCGGCGCTGAATTCAGCAAAAACAATTGAGGGAATGTGGTCTGCCGTTTCCATCGGCTAAGTGAACTCTCCTTTTATACCACTTGCTTCCATTCTATCCTCAGAGTCTAAGTCCGCGAATTTATTTTTCTGAGTAGGTTCTTCTAAGTATTATAATGTGTTATGCTCTTTTCCTTTTTATTGGTATAAGAAAACTTTTAAATGAGTTTCCCGAAATTTCTGGACCAGTATACTGTAAGGAATTAAGGTGCAGGTATAATTTACTGTAAGGAGTTCTTGCTGAATGCTGTTTAGCACATCCATCCAGCAAACTGAGAGATCAGTAGTTCGACTCTCAGAGATAGGGGAGCTCATTTTTTGCGATTGCCGTCACTTTGAAGAAACATAGCAATTCGTTACTGATATCCGTAATGCTATACAATCATACATTTATTCTTTACGACTAGACAAGTATTACCATCACGCTAAATTCAAGCCATTTAATTTAGCTTTCGTGTGACTATAGATATAGCCAGTTTTTAGAGATTTGCCATTCAGTCAAATTTAAGATCTTTAACTAATCTTTCACATTTCTTCCATCTGTAATTACTTAGCAAATTGAATGCTTTGAAATTAATAAAGGCAGTCCGTAATAGTTGATAATTTATTTAATTTTTGATAATACATTTAAATGATAAAAAATGTACACTTGTAATATATACAACTGACAATTTTTATGAATATTTGTAGCATTATTGTAATTAAAAGGGTTGGCTGAAAAGTTTTTTAAGATTTCGCTATTTCTCTTGCCTTATATTCGACGGGGCAGCCCAAACCGTATAGTGGTTAGGGGAGCGTACTGCGGTACCGAAGGGCTCGGGTTCGAATCCCGGAGAAGGCATGGATATTTGTAAATGTATAGTGTCTTTGCGGCACGAGAGAACTCTAACTATATGGCCAGCCGAAAGTCCTCTCGTGTAGTTTGGTGGAAGGGGAGAGGATTGGAAGGCCCTCGGACCCTTTCCGGGGGTGCTTTCCCTTAAAATTGGGGTGAAAGTCCAACCTGTTTGAGACTCTGGCAACCATTCTTCCACAAAATTCATGAACAAAAGAACAACAACAGCCTTAATGGCTATGTATATCGACGTGTTTAATCTTGAAGACGACCAGCTAGCCAACTACAAGTTTATATATTTATCACAAACAATGGAAGTACCTGTAACATTTTGCATTTTGCAGAAGTTAAGGAAGGTGTCCATGATTATGTGGTAGAGCTGTGAATAATTTTATGCCAAATTTCGCAAGATCTTAAAGGAAACATTTGAAACGCTACTGCGTGTACGAGATCATGAAACATTTAACCGTGCTTCAGTACTTCATTGATGGAATACTTCAAGGCGGCAACACACGAGTGATTGATAGACCACATTCTGGCAGATTTACTCACTTTATTAACGATTGACGACGTTTTAACCTATGAACCGTCAATAATAGTAATACTCAGACGACATATAGTCGAAAACTATACGTATATTCTTCGGGGAAAGTCATATAATACTTTTATACAACCAAAATAGATGCATTTTGTGAACCATGCTTCCTGGCTATTACGTAAACTGCCTTGAAAACTATTTGCGTGGAACCACGGGTTTGCTCCAAGATAATTTCCGGTGACATACGGCTACTATGGCATTAGTCCCACTGCCTGAAATCGATTTGTTAACTCTTAGAATACTCTGCATATAGGTTAGACTTACTGACCTATGGTTTTTCTGAGCATTTTCAAGATTGAAAAGGCAATTGCACGTAAAGGCAGTTACGTAGGAAAAGGTTCTCTTCAGATGGGGAAGAAAATATGCGACGCCTGCGTTGATAAAGAGAATGCCATAAAGTATGTTTATATTTTTTAATTATTTATAAAATGCTGTGACGTGTGTAATTCAATGAGAATGACTCAAATTTTGGAAAGAAAAAATAAAGGGCGTAGCATAATCTGATTCTGAGCAAGAGAATCCGTCTTAAAACTCTTATTCACTAACATATTAAGATATCTCTAATGTTGTATGACCCATAGTACCTATTCAGAAGTACCTATTACAGATGCAATTGGTCGGTACCTACAGAAGCATTTCGTTGTTCCCTTTACGACGTTTTAATGGTTAATACTGAGTCAAAATATTTTCATCTGATACAATCCCATAGCTTTTCAGAATTTTTCCTTTTTCCCAACCTCTAACTTTTCCATACTTGTTCAAGTACTTTTCTCAGTAATGTATCCCAAACAATTTCTATCGACGTATGGGATTTTGGGAACTGGATCCAATGAATCAATCTGTGACGTATCCTTCTACATTATACTCTGATTACTTATTTTCATTTCATTTCAAATTCCTTACAGGAGGAGGCCTTTAAGTCCAGTCATCATGCCTGGGGAAAGACGGTCATCATCGGCTTAAGCGATATTGGAGACACCATGAGAGCCGGCGTCTGGGAATTGTTATACGGAAGGAGCCTCATTGGAACCTTTTACGGATGTGAGTCTTTTTCTTTTCATTTTCCATTTTATTGGGCATTGCGTATCGTTATTAATTATAACTAGCGAGATCTGTGCATATAATTCGCATGGAAATTCTTCAACTTCCATGTATAATGCGTCTAGTCCATTTTATATTTTGATGTCATAAGAAATTATCGCATAACTCTGTGCGTCCCCTCATGGTGGAAGTGATATCTTTTCCAACTAGCAAATGGAATATCTGAGGTTAGAACCCAATCAAAAAGGACATTAATGATTCTTTGCATTCCATGGGAAAAAAATAAAAGAGCTAATTTCTCTGTAATGTAGTCATAGTACTATCTAGCAGAATAGCTCTGTATAGAATTCATTTGGACTGTTGAACAAACAGAATGGTAAAAGCTGAAATCTGGGGAAAATACTCTCGTATGATTTATTAATGCTTCTTACTTATTTATATTTGACTTTTTTCCAAACACAAAGAGCTAAAATTTAAGAATTTATCAATTTCTTGAAATAAGCAATGACAGTTGCAACACCATCATCCAACATTCCTTTTTTTTTTTTTTCCTAAATTATATTTGATATTAAACAGGAGTTGTTTTTACTTTTGTAAAGGTTACATTCAGATGGTAGTCTGTGATATAAAGCAAATTAAACAAAAAGTAAATAATAAAGAAATAATTCTTTGTTGTATGAATCGGCTCTCGAGTTGCTGAAGTACACTGAGTGGCAAATGAGAGTCGCCTTTGCGGTAGAAAGAGTAAAAATACTCCCTTAGTAGATCGATTTAGTTCATTCTGTTCTGGAATCCGTAACATGAGGCATTAAAAGCATTTTTTATTAATTGCAATAAGGATTAAAATATTTTATAAAATTTCTCAATTAAAGATATCATAAATTATATATACGTATATAAATTAGATAGTTTATTTATTACCGATATATCAGTCAAAAACAATAAAATTAAGGTTCAGCAAGAAATACGGATACTGCTATTAAATATCTTAGTTTATTAAGCAATTTATAATTTCAATTAGAAAGCTAAATTTCAACATTTTAAGAAATGCAAAATGGCATCATTTACCAAACCGCTCTCCGTTTAATAGTTAATTTACTCAGCTCAGAGTTTCCTCTTTTATTCCCACATTTAATTTTCAAGCCTTAATGAGAGACATTCCGATGACCTCAGAGATCACGTGACTTATGTATAGTTAATGTAAACAAACAATGTATATGACCTCGGAGATCACGTGTTTGTGCATAGCTAATATAAACAAATAAGGATGCTCTTCCTTTTCTTCTCTTGCGGAATTCGTCTCGTTCTAATAAAATAAGATGTTTTTGCGTAGTACAAATTGATATTCAACAGCAAACACTAAAACACCTCTCTAAGGACAACCCTTTTATCAGTTTTAATTGCGCAAACGAAGACAATAATATTTTTTTGCGGAAACACAATATATGTTGATTTTAATATTATGTTAAATAAATCATGATAACACTATAATATATATTATAATATACTCGTATTATTATTTTAATGAAATTTTTAATTTGGATGTTTATTTTATTAAATGATATTATAAATATTCCTGACTTTATTCATATTTACTGCTGCATCTTAAGAATTATTGCACTTCCGATTAATTAATTCTTAATAATAGGAAATTAGTGATAATTTATTCGCATTGAGATCTTTTTCGTAGTGAAAGTTTCTTCAGTTTCTTCAAAACTCATATCTCATTTCTAACAGTTTGAATCTCTAAAATCTTTCAACTCTTTTTAGGAAAAAGCTATGGCAATGAACAAAATTCTCGAAACACTTTCGATTGCTTTTTTTTTGAGAAATTGGTGAAGGTAAGAAAATTATAATAGTTTGTTTAGAAAGGGTGAAACACCAAGTGCGTTGGCTATGTATTATAACAAGAAAAATGAGCAGTTAATAGATGTTTGTGACGAGTTCTTTATGTTTTGACATTAGAAACATCTTTAGAGAAGTCTTTCAAAATCTAAGAGCCAGCCTGTCATGCCACATTAAGTTACCAGGGCATTTTTTATCCACACCTCCAGGAAAATGCTCTCAATGCACAAGCTATATTTCACGCGGCCTGTCAAATAACCAGTTTCCGCAGTGTTGTCAGCGTATGTGGCATACGATTTTGAATTTGCTTTACATTTTTGATTGTTTTTCATATTTTGATGTAAAAATGTCTTTAGTGAAAGCTTTTTAAAGTTTCTGGTTGCTATATTATGTTATATCATCTTTTAATATAATTTTATTTATCTGCCACCTGGTTAATAACTCCGTACGATCTTAATTAATTGTGAGTTTCCAGATTGTTGTAGTTCAGTGTTATGTAATATTTTTATTATCGAATTTAAAATTGCTTAATAAAAGTGTGTAATTTAAAAGCAATAAATACACATCTTAATAATTATAATTTTTATTTTGTTTCATTTTATTTTTCCATTCTTTCTATTTGCAATCATAATTTAATGTGTCAAAATTTTCTATATATTTGTTTAAATAAATAATGTAGTATCCTTTAACAAATAATTCACTTCAAACAGTAATATTATTTAAAATCTAAAAATCCATTATATTTCCATTCCTATTTTATTCTCACTTCCTAACCATAACCGAATTTAGATTGTATTTGCGTCAAATTCGTTAAAGTACGTTATCGTCGAAAAAAGACGTCTTTTCCTTATGCTTCCAATAATTGTTTCAGCTTACAAGGCCAAATTAGAGATCCCCGGTTTGGTGGATAAAGTGGTTAAAGGACAGATCCAACTTGACAAGCTCATCTCCCACATCATTCCGCTGGATGACATTAATAAAGGATACGATATGCTGAAAACGGGAGAATCGTAAGTATTTACATTGGCTTTAATATCGCATGTAAATTGAACAGAATTATGCAAAACTTGTGAGTTCCTAACTCTTCATTTTCTAAAATTTTGCCTGAAAAGTCAGTAAAAAGTCTACACGTACCTCGAGTGCGAGAGGTTATTTTACGAGAGAAACACATGAAATTTGTCTCAGCGATTTCATGCCTCCAGTTTCAAAAAACCAAATTCCTTAAAAGAGCAATAAACATCCTTGGGGTGCTGACCGAAGCACTCAGTACAATTCACTTTGAAAATCCTCAGCATATAAAATGAGGAAGTCCTCAAAATATCTGAGAATCAATATTCTTAAAAATTCCCTTACGTTTTGAGACAAGTGAGACTTAAGAAACATGCCTTCAGGATATGAAGTTAGCTATATCTACATCTATATGTATATACGTATATAAAATTTAAAAAGTAAATTCTTCAAGCTATTGCCTATGAGCTAAAGTGATATTTCGGTTCCTTTGCAAAATAGCATAAACACAAACTGGGAAATTGAGACTTCGTTTCAATTAATATTTAGATCTTTTTAATAAAAAAAATTATTGGCAATCAGTCTCAATGTCCTGTTTGACGAAACGCGTTCTGGAATTAGCAAAGTTCGAAGCTCACCATGCATTTCCCTTGAAAAGTCCATGATGATATTCGAATTAGGTTAATTTACCTTTTACAGCTGCTGAGTTGTAGTTATTGTTTTTTAACATGATGTTTTTGCAGTATTTTTTCTAACATGTTTTGAGATAGTTTAAACTTTATTCTACATGCATATTAACTTTTAAGTTTGAATCAAGTTAAGCTTTCTCCTTTTCTAATTTTCTTAATTAATATTTCATACATTTTGTGTTTTTACATTTTGATTTACAATTTGATCTTTATTTTGTGTTTATATTACTTTGCAAAGGAACCGAAGTATCACTTTAGCTCATTATCCCTATATTATCGTTTGAAGAAACGCGCTTTAGGTATTAACTTGATTCGAGTTTTGAGCTGTTTTTCCCTTCATAAATCCGGCTCAAACTTCGAGTTGAGCTATTTACCATTTTTTGCAATTTTTTTGTACATATTTACTGTATTTTTGAAGCACATTTAATTTTTACAAGAGTCCTTTTAAAAAAAATTTTGCTATTTTATTAAAACTCAAAACAAGTGTTAAAAAGAAATATTTAGAAAATACAGAGGAGGGTAAATATACTTAGTCATTCATTTCATGTTTTCTCAATAGTAATATTTTTCTCCCTTATAGGTTGAGAGCTGTAATCGATATGAACAAGAAGGCCTGAGTTTAACTTGCCAAGAAAAGCAAATGAAGAAAGCGAAAAATATTAAAGTATAAGAAAATATGAAGCCTTTAATTGTATGAAGAGGAGTTTGAGATAAATCTGGTTGGGCTTCATTGTCATTTTTCATTGACGTGATGTAATGTGCAACGTATTATTGGTTTCTTAATGTTTTATATTATGATGAATTGAATAAAAGATGTAATATCAACAAAGCTGCTGACGTCACTTTCGTTAGTTTTTTATAACACTAATCTCTTCTGCGGAAAACTGCCTAAAACGGTTATTATCAGAAAGAAAAAAAAATATATAAAGATTTTAATGAATCCAGTTAGTGTAATTTCATTGTGTCCAGCTTGTATAATTTTCTAAAAATATTTAAAGATTTTCAATAAAAAACAAAGTATTGCTTTTTTTTTACATTAATTTAACCTATTGTTCCAGTCCAACAATCCTAGACTTAAGATATAACAGAAATTATACAATAGGATGCAGCGAATACTGCAACCCATTGCAGAACTTCTGTAACATGAAAACTACTTTAAATTACGCTCCAAGGTCCTGGAATGAAGTAAAAATGTTTTAAACCATTTTACTTTTCATTGCACAAAAGCATCTTAAGGTTTAACAATTAAATACGGAATAGGAAATATGGATCAGCTTATTTCTTGTTTTCAGAATACATGGCCAATTCGCTCAACTATCAATAATTGTTTAATCTAATTTTATTTTTTCTGTTTTTATTGAAGAATTTGATCATAAGGTGTAAACATAAGGTATTTTTTTGGAAGCAGGTAAGATGAAAAATTAACAAAGCCATCGCCGGGAATCGAACCGTGGACCTCTGGAATACCGACCCGGTGTGCAGACCACCACACCCCGAAGGCTCGCCGAAAATACCTTATATACTCCCCCCTTTAAAGGGCGCGTAGGGTTTTTAGGAGATCCAATCGCCAAACCCTGGGTGAGGAGAATCATCATCCAACAACCTTTTAGTTCGGGTGCCACTGTAGAGACGTTAGTTTAATTGGACAAGCCGGAGAGATGAAAAATGAGCAATCGCCTGCGCGGAGAATCGAACCACGGACCTCTGGAATACCAGCCCAGCGTGCAGAACCACTACACCATGAAGGCACGCTAGGAAGGAGGGAGAAATACATTATAAGGCGATAAGAGATAGTCATTCTGTAGAAATCACCATACCTATTATTTTTATAGTTTTTTTTTTTTTTTTTTTTTTTTTTTTAATTATTAATTATTATTATTATTTTTCTTCTATGGAACAAAGGCTGGCGAAAGTTTCTCAAAGTACCCCGAGGAAAATCATGGAAAAGAGCTTATCGATAGATTTATATTTATAACATACTGAGATTTGGAACAGACTGGACAAGCTAATGACTGATGAAGAATTTCCATCCGAATTATTACTTCGAATCTGTCTAAGCAAGACAATTAAACGCATTTTTATCTAAATTAATCAGATAAAAAGGGGAAACATTATTAGCCCAAAAAAGAGACTGCTCAGAAGGGCTATTAAGTCTCGAAGCAGGATTTTGCGTTGAATCACTGTAAAAAGCTGAATCACTTTTCACACTATAGCCGCCAAATATTATCACCCTGTATTATTAAAAAAAAAATAAATGAAGGAGAATATGCATGAATGTAGGTATGTTTCTCGCATTGTGAAAAAACGAAGGTACCTAGAGCCATGAAATTTTAAACAACGTAATCCTCCACTCCAACATGGGCACCTGGAAGCCGAATTTGGAATTCGAAATTTGTTTTATTACCTATTTCACATTTTTTAAAACGTTAACAAATTTTTGATTAACAAACTAAACGATTTCAAAGCAAGCAATGGCTACATTGTACAGAAAATTAATAATAATAATAATAATAATAATCTCTAGCGCGCGAGACTGTCCCCCAGGATAATCGGGTTTTAAATATTTTGTCATATTGTTGCTGATCTGAATTTAATGTAGTTTAAATGCAAAGATCACAATACTTAATAAATAAAAGTAACACATAAAACGTTGAAACAAAGTCCCTTTGGGCGAAATATAAAATCTGAACGCTTTCAGATTTTTTTAAGAACTACGTTTATTGCTTTGACATCTCTTAGTTCGTTAATGGATGATGGAAAAATGAAATTTGAAATTTAAATATATAACTTTTCGTCGAAGAGCAATATACTGGCACGTAGAAGATAAAAGCGTTTTATTTCTGTTGCTTTTAAATAGCTGACTTTGTTGATTAAATTTGAAAGATAAATATTTTACATTTTGTCGAATAGCAACAGAATGGCGCTCGGAAGAAAAAATATTTTATTTCGTGCAATGGACATTAGAAACAAAATAGTAGCTTTTCAACAAATAATTCTGTACTCGAATCAGCTCTTAAATTCTGTTGATATATACACTAAACCTGAAATAGAAATTACCTAAAAAAATATAAGATAACCAAAACTAAACACTATATATAATTTTAATAATCTTGTGCATAATAATAAAATTTAGTATATAATCTACTAAGACGAAATGCTGAAAAAAAGTACACACTTAACTAACTGTCATGTAAATGAGAGGCGAAATAAGGCAAGTAATTTTTTGGTAGAAAGGGAAAAAGATGTAAGCATAATATTGTGGTTACCATGGAGGTTACCTTTCCTACCTCCATGGTGGTTGAGAGCGTGTCTATACGCAGAGATAAGAGGTCGTATGTATTTTGCTCCCACATTTTGCTTCACGGTGAACGGAATATTCAGCCTTACAAGAGATTTTTTTGTATCTGCAGTTACAGCAAAGCACTAGGACTTAGTGTAAGTTTCATCATTATTCAGTGATTATTTAATTAATTTTCTAAGTATTACTGTTCCGGCTTGTGTTCCTGACCGTTGTTACTTTAACACAGTAACGCGGTTACCCGACCCTCCTTCCTTCTACTGATAAGAAAAAGGAACTTTAGCATTCTCCCCTCCTCTCAGTCTCGGACACAGGCAGCGCAGGGGTGCGCTTGTAATCGAATACTACTCTAAATCCACCCCTTTCCAAAACTGCTTTTTTTTCAACCCCAAAACAAGAGGAAAAGAAGTTTGTCAACCGCCATCTTTGGCCACATAAGAGTAGTAATCATCTTACGACTTGTCAGTGTATTTGATTTTTTTTTTTTTATTAGTACTACACATCATTCGTGCCAAGTGCGTATTTGCATTCAGCTCAAGCAGTATTTTCCTCTATTAGTACTACAGTGAAATTCCTCATCAAGTTCATATCTGTGAAAGTGTGTGCATTGCTTAATGCAATTTCCTCATCCAAGTTCATATCTGTGAAAGTGTGTGCATTGCTTATTTTGAAAGAGATTTTAACGCTTACGAAGTATTTACCTCTTACATACCCCAGTCCGAACTAGTGCTATAGCACATACTCAATATATGTAAAGAAGATTTTTGAGAATTTCACCATACATCTCCTTATTCATTATTAATACCGGAAGTTTGTGCATCGTGTTCTCGCAGTACGGTACATACTTTATCGGCAGTGTATGCGATTTGATTGTACATCTCCTCATTCAAGTTTAATGCTACGAAGAGCTCCAGTATTCATCATATTATTCAGTGCTTTGATATAGTGCGTGTGAATATTATTCAGTACTCACTTAGGGCAGTGAAAAGTGCGTGTATTGTGCTCAAGTATTCATCTTTTTTTTTTTTTTTTTTTTTTTTTATACACAGCGCTGCGTTACAGTGTACAGAGTGCGTAATTTTTTTATTCAGTGCTTACCGTGAATGTGTGCACATGTTATTGCTCTTTCTTTTTCTTTTTTTTTTTTTTAATCTTTTCTCTCATAGTGCTACAGCGAAAACTCAATATTTATGCAAGATAATTTATTTATGAGATATCTTCATACATCTCCTAATCAAATTTTCAGTGCTGTGAAAGTATAGTGTTCTTTGCAGTTATCTCATCTTATAGTGCTATAGTGCATACTTTACTGTCAGTTTATGTGATTTGATTGCGCATCTTCTCCTTCGAGTTTAGTCCTAGAAAGTGTGTGCATCGTGTTCTAATAGTCATTTTGTTATTATTCAGTGCTGTGTAATAGTGTGCGTGATTATCAGTCTGTGCTTACTTAGAACTGTTTAGTATATAAGGTTAAAGTGTGTGCGTCACATTTTATATAAAACAAATATATATATATATATATCCTCTTATAGTGCTACAGCCCTTATAGTGCTCAATATACAAGAAAGTCTATTAGCTTATGAGGTTTCATTATACATCACCTCATCCACTTTAGTGCCGTGAAAGTGCACACATTGTGTTCTCGCAACTATCTAATCTATTATTGCTACGGTAAATGCTTAGTACTCTAGCCCAAGTGCATGCGATCTGATCGTGCATCTCCTCATTCAAGTTTAGCGTCGTGAAGTGTGTTCATTGTGTTCCGCTACCTTTCCTTACAGTGCTATCGCGTAAACTGAGTATTCCTGGAATATTGCAGGTGCATGTGTATCCATCATTCATCTCATCATTCGTTTTTTTATGCTCTGAAAGCATCTTCATTGTGTTCTCTTACTTACTATGCCTTCGGATACTCCCCCTCATCACCAGCCGGCACGGAGCATAATATTCAACATTCTCCCCCTTCTGTTAAAGGTGCTGCTAGCACATCGACACCTAACTCCAGGTTGGAAGCAATTAACCACATCTGTAACCAACTCCAGTTATTCATCTTACAAGCAAAGGAATCTCGCAGACTAAACGCTTCTGAAAGAAAGCAATTTACATCTTTTGTGAACACCGTTCGCATAACGTTAACGGAACAAGAGGTTTATCTCGCCCAGCTACAGGGACAAGTCTTGGCTCTGCAACAACAGCAACTCGCACACAGTTTACAGCCATCTCACGAGAATCCTCAACATTCCGAGTCTTATCAAGCAGTGGAATCCTCAGCCCCAGAAGAACAGTCCACAAAAGAATATTCCTTCACTGAGGTGACACGAAAGAAGCGGAAAACTTCTCCACCTTCAAGATCTTCTCCAGTTCTATCGGAGCACGTTCTATTATTAAGGTCAAAGAACTCCACACGGACACCCGAAGGGATTAAAGCTCAACTTTCGGCAGATTTGAAACCCTCCCAGCTAGGGATCACTTTAGTGCAGATTCGGCCGACAAGGTCCAGAGAGCTTCTCATCCGGTGTCGAGAAAAAGCT